CTGAACTAATATAAATTCAAAGTAAACATCATTACATAAAAGGGTAGGGTCTTTTTTTTTTTTAGTTTTATTCATTTCAAACGAGCCGAATCCGGCCCTTGGCTGCCCTAACCCCTCTGTCTGCCTGCCGATCGCCCCTAACTGCTCTCCCCTGCCAGCCTGATCGCCCCTAACCACCTCTGCCTCAGCCCTGCCACCGTGGCTGTGTCCAGAAGGACGTCCGAAACACGCCCGGTCTAATTAGCATATTACCCTTTTATTAGTACAGATGCTTCTATCTCTTTCTCTCCTTCTCCCTTCCTCTCTGAAATCAAATATATATACATATATTTAAATCCTTTAAGAAAATAAAAAATTAAGTATTTGGTAGGGTCAAGCTGGTGTGATTTCTGTGGGATAACAGAATGGTTGCCATTTTCCACTTTCAACATAATGAAGAGGGAGCCCTTTCAATGAATCTTTGCCCAACAGACCAGATGCGTAGGGATGGGGCAGGGATGTGTTGAAAGCCAGTACGAGTCTCGCTCCGAGTCTGAGAAGGAGCCATCGCTTGGGAGGTGAGCAGACGTCCTGGGAGAGGGGAGCCTCCAGGAGCCGAACCCCCAAACACAACTGAGAAAACGGGAGGTTGAGTCGACCTCTGAAGCGTGACCTCAAAGCCCAACCCCCACACACCGGCCTCTAGGACACGCCCCGGTCGCATTCACAGCTGCTGGGTTTCCAGATCCTGAGGCATCTCCGTCACAGGGACCTCACTGCGGCTCTACGTTGAACGGTACGAAAAACACACACACAGAAAAGCCACCTGAGCCCTACTCCCTGGTTCCACTCGCACCTTCAGGCTGGTAGGAAGGACATGACGCTAAGACGGGTGTCGGAAAACCCAAACGTGACGGCACAACCGGAGGAACACGCAGGAGGACAAACACCACAACATCCACGCCTCGGAACTTGGTGCTCAAGATCGGAGTCCGGGGGCAAAACCCACACGATCCGTGCGGAGATACGGATGGAGGACCCATGACCCGCCCCCTCCGAGACCCAGGAGAGGAAGCAGCACCAGCATCCCATCTCCGTCACAGGGACCTCACTGCGGCTCTACGTTGAACGGTACGAAAAAAACACACACAGAAAAGCCACCTGAGCCCTACCCCCTGGTTCCACTCGCACCTTCAGGCTGGTAGGAAGGACATGACGCTAAGACGGGTGTCGGAAAACCCAAACGCGACGGCACAACCGGAGGAACACGCAGGAGGACAAACACCACAACATCCACGCCTCGGAACTTGGTGCTCAAGATCGGAGTCCGGGGGCAAAACCCACACGATCCGTGCGGAGATACGGACGGAGGAGCCATGACCCCCACCCCCACCCCGAGACCCAGGAGAGGAAGCAGCACCAGCATCCCAACGCGACGGCTGACGGAGGAGCCACCATTGGCGTAGACGCGGGTGAACGCCTAGGCCAGTGGTCGGCAAACTCATTAGCCAACAGAGCCAAATATCAACAGGACAACGACGGAAATTTCTTTTGAGAGCCACATTTTTAAAACTTAAACTCTATAGGGAGGTACGTTGTGATTAACTTAATTAGGGGACTCCTAAGCTGGCCTTTGCCCAAAACGTCCTCAATCTGATGGAGGTACGTTCGCTGAGGTCGACCCCTTCCACCTGTCCCATCCACACGCGTCTTGTAAACCTCTTTTGTCCGTCTCCTTTCCTTCATCCTCTCTGTGTGTCCACACCATCTCAGCATACCTTTCTCCGTCCTCAACACTACATCTTCTCTCATTCCACAACGTTCCCTAAAATTAACTTCACAAACTTTACTTACAGTTTTAAGTCAACTTCGCACTGTACGGGGGCGCCCGCACGTGGTATTTTGTGGAAGAGCCACACTCCAGGGGCCAAAGAGCCACGTGTGGCTGGCGAGCTGTGGTTTGCCGACCACTGGCCTAGGTCAACGACCTCCCCTGGGGACAACCCTGGGACCAGAAGGAGTAAGAGCAGAGAGGAGCGAGGGTTCCGCACCCAGCCAAGCGCCCCGCACCGAAGCCATCCATCCACCGACCGCTGCAGAGCATCTGCTTGGCTGAAGGCTGATCAGACACTGGCCCTTGAAGGGGGCTGCTGGACGGACGGGCCGGGGCCACTTACCAGGCCGGAGGGCAGGGAGCCGGAGGAGCCTGCAGTCTGAGAAGGGAGACCAGGAGCCATGCCTTACTCTCCTGCCGGCCTGATCACCCCTAAGGGCTCTCCTCTGCCAGCCTGATCGCCCCAACTGCTCGCCCCTGCTGGCCTGATCGCCCCTAACTGCCTCATCCATCCACCGACCGCTGCAGAGCAGAGCCCCCTGGGAGCCTCAGACGCCCGGGGAGCTGCGACTCACTGTTGGGCGGGTGCCAGCGCACGGCGTTCAGGTAGAAGTTGCAGTAGTGGAAGAGGAACTCATGGTCGGACCGTTGGGTTTCGCCTTGCAGAAGGGGCATCAGGTCCCGCCCGTCGATGATCCTGTGGGGTCAACCAGGTGGCCGTGAGGGTGCGAGGAAAAAAAACAACAGAGAGCATGAGAGAGCAGCATCATGGAAATTAAGTCATCGGCGAGAAATACCCTCCCTGAGTCTGTTGGTTACCATATGCAATGCAGGGATTTCAGCATTTTTTTTTATTTCTCCCAACAGCATCATGAGTGGAGGCTCTTATTCCATAACAATAAGATAAAGACATAGCAGCCTTGCCCGGCCGGCCTGGCCCAGTGGTCGAGCATCGACCTGTGAACCAGGAGGTCACAGTTCGATTCCCGGCCAGGGCACATGCCCGGGTTGCGGGCTCGATCCCCAGTAGGGGGCATGCAGGAGGCGGCCGGTCCATGATTCTCTCTCCTCATTGATGTTTCTCTCTCTCTCTCCCTCTCTCCCTTCCACTCTGAAATCAATATAAATATTTAAAAAACAAAATAAAAATTGCTACTATTCTTCAAGAAACAAACAAACACAGGACTGAAATACAATAGTGGGCCATCATTTTCTCCCCACAAGGGACTTGGGAATAGATTTCTGTTTTCTTATCTCCTCTCTCTCTCTCTCTCTCTCTCTCAATAGTAACATTTTATCGTCAATAAGCCTCATGAAATCTATAAGAAGGACCGTCCGTCTCCAGATCAGGTTCCACCCTCGCCGTTCCGCTCAGTGGATAGAGCATTGGCCAGCAGACAGAAGGGTCCCGGGTTCGATTCCTGTCAAGAGCATGCATACCCTGGTTATAGGTTCCCAGGCCCTGGTCAGGGCCTTGGTCAGGGTGCGTACGGGAGACAACCAATCCGTGTCTTTATCACATCGATATTTCTCTCTCTGTCTCCCCCCCTCCTTTCCACTCTCTCTCTTAAAAAACAAAAACAAAAACCAAAATCAATGGAAAAATATCCTCAGATGAGGATTCACAAAACAAAATGAAAGCAAAGGGTCCAGGTGATTTTAATGATTGGAAACCACCAGAGACGCATGCAACTCAGGGACTTACCCGGTGGGAGTTATTTAAGGGTGACTATTGAGGTTTGTTCCAAGGGTAAGACCGAGGGCCAATCAGGGGACAAAATCGGGAGTGAAGTTTCTGGCGTCAGAGCACGCTTTTGATGAGTAACCGCTGCCAACTTTCCTGCCTGTCATCACGGGAAGATGGACAACCTCGGGGCTGAGACAATCGAGTCCCGGAGGCACCCTGCTCTTTGCAACCCCAGCCCCTACTGCCTGTAAGCTGGCCCCAGAGGCACCCCCAGCCCACATGACCTGTAATGAGCATCCCGTGCCCACTTCCCCGGGTCTGTAACGCCTACTACCCCATGGGACCCTTGTCCTTCTACCCATATAGGCAGCTGGCTTCTGGGGGGTGCAGAGCAGACGTCTGTGGGTGACCTGCTACCCTCCCATCCTGCCGGCAGGATCGGAACAAACCCTGTTATAGGATTCACCCCCGTCTCTGCTGAAATGGCTCAGGTAGCAACAGGCGGCCCTGCCCGGATCCTTTGGCTGTCGGGTGACATGGGTCCCACTGGAGTTAACACCACGTGGGCGCGACGCCACGCCACGCGACTCGAGTCACGTACCTGTCCTCGGGCAGCTGGGACCCGGCCAGCTTGGCCACGGTGGGGAAGATGTCCATGTTGCTGGTGGGCTCGGCGATCTCCAGCCCGGCCGGGAGCACGCCCGGCCACCGCAGCAGGCCCGGCACGCGGATGCCTCCTTCCCAGTTGTTGCCTTTGCCGCCTGAAACGCCAACGGGAGGCCACAGGTGAGTCTCCTGAGGTTGGCCCACCGGGCGGGGGAGCCGGGGGCCACGGCCGATCCCAGGCTCACCTTTAAAGATCCCGTTACTCCCCCCGTGACGCTCTCCCTTGGCGGTGACCTCCTCTACGTGGGCACCCTGGTCGGACGTGAAGTAGACGAGGGTCTTGTTGGTCAGCTGCAGCTCCTCTAGGACATTCAGGAGCTGCCCTGAAGGGGAGACCACAGCCACGTGTGAAACTAGACATCTATCTATATAAAAGCCTAACGTGCAACGTGTCCCCTCGGGAGTCTGACCGACCAGGAGTTCCATCGGTCGCTATGACATGCGCTGACCACCAGGGGGCAGCATGGGACAAAGGAAGGCCCGAGCCAGAAGCTGTGCACGGATTTCATGCACTGGGCCTCTAGCAGAAATATAGCTATCCTTTTTTTTTTCTTATTGATTTCAGAGAAGAAGGGAGAGGGAGAGAGAAACATCCATGATGAGAGAGAATCATGGATCGGCTGCCTCCTGCACGCCCCCTACTGGGGTTCGAGCCTGCAACCTGGGCATGTGCCCTTGACCGGGAATTGAACCCTGACCTCCTGGTTCACAGGTCGACACTCAACCACTGAGCCACGCCGGCCGGGCCCTAACTTTGTCATTTCCACCCAAAGCGTCCCACACGACTTGGCTGGGATTAACATCACAGAATCTAGTAGAGACCATCGGACAAAAACGGTGAAGTATTTCGTTTAATTTGTGGAGAAATGGTCAGGTTTCCGATTTCCTTTCATTTTCTCTTCCCCCGAAAGACACTCACTCTATCGAGTGGGCTTCACCTCTGGATCTCTCGTCGTCTTGTCCTCTGACTGTAATCTGAATTATGACTTTTATCTCAACTGAGCTATTTTCATGCGATTTATCAGAAGCAGAGTGGAACCGCCTTTCACAGTTGGCTACGAATATCATGATTAGACCAATAGTCTAAGGCGTTGATTCTTTTTATTTTTTTTAATACATTTTTATTAATTACAGAGAGGAAGGGAGAGAGAGAGAAACATCACTGACTAGAGAGAATCATCAACCAGCTGTCTCCTGCACTAGGGACTGAGCCCGCAACCCGGGCATGTGCCCTTTGACCGGGAATCGAACCCTGAACTCCTGGTTCCTAGGTCGACGCTCAACCACTGAGCCACGCCAGCCGGGCCCTAACTTTGTCATTTCCACCCAAAGCGTCCCACACGACTTGGCTGGGATTAACATCACAGAATCTAGTAGAGACCATCGGACAAAAACGGTGAAGTATTTCGTTTAATTTGTGGAGAAATGGTCAGGTTTCCGATTTCCTTTCATTTTCTCTTCCCCCGAAAGACACTCACTCTCCAACATACGCTGAGTCCCATTCTGTTTAGGTCTTAAGCCAGACTCCTGTGAGTGAAGCCCAGAGCCCATTAACCATTTAACTTTCCCCAAGATTGACCCAAAGGTAGGCTTACAGCTGTCCCAATGGAAAATAATACAGTAATCCCCTAGAATAAAAGCCTAATATTCTAAGTGTCCGGT